AAACTGTCTACACATGATGCTAGCAAGGTGAAATAGAGGAATTGGCACCTGAATTATAATTTTAATCAATGGCATTTTCATGTTGATCAAATATATAATTTATAGAAAGCAAGATGTTAATTGAGTGAATTAATGTAGTGTATGGTTAGAGAGGTTTAATTTGCATAGTTGATTGTGATTTTAACCTTAAATACGGGTTTGAAGTAAGGCCAGGCCATCCAGAAATTAAAAGATGAGGAAGAATAGAAGAAAGGCTCTCTATGCCCTATACAGTAGCACGAGGAACATTCGTTGCATTGCACATATGCAACCAATGTGAGCCAAGTCTCTTTGTGCCATGCACAGTAGAGTAGGCTGCATGTATTGTGATGTATGGCCAAAATCTTACTTAAACCAATTTGTGTTTATGCAAAAATCAAAGGAGAGGAAAAGGAGAAAATGAAAGGCATGAAGTTTGCTCTACTAGGGCTTGAATGTAGGACTCATTGGAGATATTTTAAAGCTTCCCAACACACAAGGTAAGTACATTATACTTCTCCCTCCCTTTTTCCTATTATGAAGGTTAAAGTTAAGGTTTAAGTTGGGAGAGTAATTTTCAATCTATATAAGCTATGGATTTGAACTCATTAATTAAAATGGATATAATGAAGGTTTTTTAGAGTATTTAAACCCTACATTTATTATTTTGTGAGTTAATTATTGTTAGGAGCCATTAATATCTAAAAATAGCAATAATTATGGTTGTTAGGGTTGGTTGAAGCCATTAATAATAGTTTAATGACTCATTTATGTCAATGTAGGTTGATAGAACTTAGTAAACCTATTAGGTATGATGGGTAGTAAGTTTATAACTTTAATGGAAGGGCATAGTGAAGTATGATGTTGGAAATTACCCAAAATAGGGTAATAATGTTATTCTTGTGATATGCTTGTGGATCAACTCAATTGGCATCATTTGAGTTTGAGAAGAAGCTTTAGAAGTTGGTATTTTGAGGAGTAAATCTTTGACCTCTCAAAGGTTTGAAATAATTAGAAAAAATCTTGTTTGTATAGTTATATATTAATTATTGGTTTGTGAACTAAGTTATTTAAAAAATTTATTCAGGTGCTTATGAACCCATTAATGCAAATGTTGCAATATGATGTGTTGTGATGTGGATTTTGTATAGGAGTGTGGAGAAATGATATGCATGTTTGTTCAATTATGACTAATGTTGATATTTGAGAACATGATTTTATGAAAATGATGAATGATAATTGGCATCTGTTGTATAGTAGAAAGAATATATTTATGGATAAGATATGATATGATTATTGGTTGAATTGTATATTAAGTATAATATGTACATAACATGATCATTGACGGGAATTCACCTAAAGAGAGGAGTAGATTGGTAAATTCATGTGGTACTGGCAACTTATTATTAGAATTGAAAGCTTGCCTTAACACCAACTGTTGGCATCGGGAGGTAGCCATTGTTCTATAGTTGATTTGAGATTGTCTTACTTGTTCTTCAAATGATCAAACCTAAATAGTCTCCATCTATTCATGAGGATGCTAAATTAGGGGTACGACACCCTATGTTTGTTAATATTGGGGGAAACCACAGTACACAAGTGATTGAGTTAATTCTAGCCTAGTAGCTCCTCATAAATAGAAGGCTAGGTTAGTCTAAGTTACAGATGTAGCCACCAAAAGTCACCAGTTTTATGTCGGAGGTAACATGAAAGTACAGGATTGGCATTGATTATGCATTTAGTTTTGGCCATATGGTTGTTATTGTTATGGTCCAATGTGTTTTAGGAGTGTATGGTTGTTATTTTTGCCACCCTAAGATGTGTATAATTATGATAAATCAAATGATATGTGTTGCAAGCTCTGTTACATGGTTGTTATTATTATGGCCGAGGCTACATTTGCTATATGTGCATGATAACTGAAATTATTGCTATTTGCATCCATTTTTAATTGATATGTAGCTGTATAGATTACGTTAACTTGGCTACTAGGTAGTTATACTCACCTCTTATTCTTTAATATTTGAAGGCCTAGCTCATCAGACCAAGATTGAGGAAAACGACCAGAGGCATAGAATTTTGAGTAAATCCTACTAATAGGCCTCTTAGATTTATTTTGATATGTATTTAAGTTGTTAATTTGCTAGCTAGGAATTAATTCCATTGTTTTTGACTACTTGCATTATCGTTGTGAAAATCTTGTGTATTTTGTGCTTTGAGTTAGTGAGGTGTGGTTGTAAAGCTTGTAGGGTCAAAATACTAATACAAGTATAGAAGTGTATTTTAGTTGTTTTGGGATGAATATTGATGATTTATATAGAGTTTAACTCTCCCTTGTGTTTTTATGAATTGACAAGGTTGAGGGTTGAATTTATGACACATGTGTGTTGTTGAGTTGTGATGAGTTACACAAGTCCTAAATGATTCATGAGTATGGTCTAAGAGTTGGTGTAAGCTATTGGCACATGTATTGGAGTTTGGACCCTAGTTATGTGTTTTTGTGAAAACAAAGCAAAAATGGTTTGAGTGTTTAACTTTTGATAAAAAATTAATTTGGTTATAAAACTTATGTCATTAACTAGAGCTTGAAAAAAACTCTTTATAGACACCAAGATTATCTCAATCAAACATCAGAGGAAGATATGGAACGTGTCAAAAATTCATCCCTAGTACTGTCATATGACAGCAAAAATTTTGTTGTCAAATTTGTGCAATGCGCCACAGCACATGGCACAAAGGCAACATGTCGCAACACACCTATAATTAGCCACGACACACGTGCTATTTCCTGCATTGTTTTATTATTTTGATGTTATATGCAAATATTTTAATTCTTTCTTAATTTCCATGCTTCCGCAAAGTTTTTAAACTCTAATGTGAGTATTGAAAGTGTTTGAGATTATTCTAAATTATGAAAACTTGGTAATTCTTATAAGGTTTAAACCCTTGATTATCTTGGAATTGATGGCTAATTGTGTTTAAGAAGATTTTGCACTAATCAACAATCAAGGCCTAGTAGCCATATATTGAAGGTAGGCAAGTACAAAGTTACTTACCTTGTTTTAGTCCCTTCTCTAGACCTAAAGATCCAATTGGCTCACAATCCAATGATTTTAATATGTTTGTTCATTTATTTGTCTCCTCGAGTAACCTTTTGCACACAATAACATCAGGAACACCACACTCTAGGCTTAAATATAAGGATCCTAAAATCTTCTAAGCATTATCCACCTTCAAATTACTTCCCAAAAACACTAAAATTTTGTTTCAATATATGAAGAACTACTACCGGTGGTCAAATCCTCCCTCAAAAAGTAGTTAGGAAAATGTCCGGAAGAGAAGACATGGGGCTAGATTGAACAACCCAATCTCATCAAATTCAACAAGGAATATAAAATTTCCTAGGGTTTGAACCTTCTTCACTCCCCTTTCCACCATCCTCAAAACAAAAACCATACCTTACTCTCTTTTGTCATTATCGCCTTTGCCATCAAAATCACAACCATCCGTCATCGTCATTGTCATCGAAATCACTGAGTTATAGCTTAACAATGCTAGAAATCACATGGAGCAAAGTTGGAGAGGAGAGGGAGAGGTTTTGGTTAAGGAAATTGTTTATTTTATTTATTGGTACCACAAGACCAAGACCTTCCTCAAATTTTTTAGTCTTTCTTAGCAATCTCAAATCTGGTGGAGTCTTTTTTAACTATTTTTCCTGAAAACATTACTCCTTTTTCGCTCATGTCATAGTATTTTTTTGTCATCCTAGTTGGTTATTGTTCCATAGAATCAACCTGTAACTTGCTTTTTCTATTTGATTTTTAAATTTTTTTTGGCTTTTTAATTGAAAGTTCTAGCCTTTTAGAGCTCGCTATCCACCAGACTCCACCATGGTTTTGCAGTTCGTTGGATATTTAGATCATTACTATCTCAAACTTAAGTGTTTGAGTAAATTTTTTTTTTGGGCGAAAGTGTTTGGGTAAATTATACTGACGTATCTTTAATTTTAAGTGAACTATATCTAATAGTTTTTTTTCCTTTCCAGAATATCACTTGATTATTTTTTGTTGGGATACAATCTTGATATTGTTAATGTGTGTGTGTATTGCAATATATTACATGGTATTTCATGAAAATGAAATTTGAATTTTCAAATAATATTAAGTTTGTGTAATGGCATATAACTTGGTAATACTGAATATAAAAGCTATGATTAAATTAAATTATTTATAATAACATATTTGAATAGAGAATGTGATGCAAAGAATAAAATTATTTGAGGTACGTTTAAATTTTTAGTTACATATTTTTTATCTATTCAAATGTATTCTATAATTATAGCAAAGATTAGGTAATTTGGCTTCCCAATAGATCTGTAAATTCAGATATATTTAATGATATTTAAACTTTTTCAAAAATGAAAGATGGAAGAACAAATTGGCTCTTAAACCATTAAGTCAGTAGTATTTGATATTCTAAACTTATTTTTTATACAATATTTTCTTTTGATTTTTAAAAATGGTATAATTTGGTTGTTAAGAAAAGTTAACTTTGATAATTAATTAATTAGAAATATAAAAAAAGATATAAAAAATTATAAAAAAATAAAAATTTCTTAATCCTTTTTTTAAAATTTTTGGGTTATATATTAATTTGATTCATTTATTGTAATTTTGAAATTCTTTTTATTACTATTTTTTATTAACTAGCAGTCAAAACTAATTTTTATTAAAAACAATGGCTATATCATATTGTTTTTTAAAAATTGAAATGAGATATTTCACTATAAATAAGTTTAAATTTCAGACATTACCTATAATTTAATAGTCGATGTGCTTTTTTTTTAATAAAAAAAATGAAATGTTGTTTAGTTAAATTTATAGATGATATTTGAATTAGTCAGGTTAAAAAATAAATTATATTTGAGAACATCCTTTCAAAGATACAAGGATAAAAGTAAGACATGAGCAAATCTTAAAAAATAAAATAAATTATTTCATCATCTAATGAATTAATTGGTCCACTTAACCAACAACAGTTCATGTGGTGTATCATAACCATAAGCCCACAAGTAATTCAAAATTAACCAACAAACCCGCCAAACTAGGATACAACAGTTCTTACAAAATCATGCATTGCCGTTGCGGAAGATCCATTCTCTTCTTCCTTTGCTCTTCTGATCTGTTCTGCAATCTCATTCGCCCTCTCCCTTATCTCCTCTCCTCTCTCCATTACCCTCTGTATCACCTTCTTCACTTCCTCCCCGGAGATCACGCTCTCTACGGTGCGCGTGAGCTCCACCCCAACCCCCATCTCCTCCTCCACCATCTTCGAATTGTAAGCTTGCTCTGCTGCCAATGGCCACCCTATTATGGGCACTCCATGGCTCAGACTCTCCAACACAGAATTCCACCCACAATGGCTCAAGAACGCACCTACTGATTTATGTGATAGAATCTCCAATTGAGGTGCCCAATTTCGAATCAACAGCCCCCTTTTGGTTTCTTTAGCTCGATTTTCAAATCCCTCTGGTAACCACTCTGTTTCAAAATCTCGGTTCTTGTCCTGTCCAAAAGGTGGTCTTATAACCCAGATGAACGGTTTCCCGCTCTGTTCCAATCCCTGGGCCAATGACATCATCTGGGTTTCACTGATTGAGTTCTGAGACCCGAAAGAAATGTATAGAACAGAGCGCTCAGGATGCAGATTCAGCCATTCGATGCATTTTTCTAGAGGAATTCCAGGTTCTTTACCAGCGCGATGTTTCAAATCCATGCCCGAATTTGCAGGAAGAAGAGGCCCGATGGTCCAGACAGGGGATCCGATGAATTTTCTTAGAAGTTGCAACCCTAACGGCTCGATTTCCTCAACGGTATTGCAAATCCACCCATCGGATTTCATAGAAAGAGCGATTTGGGTTTGGAAGAATCGGGACCAAGTGTCGGTGCCATCGGCTTGCTTCAGGAACCGATGAAGCTGAGAGCGGTGGAATCTGTAATTTTCAGGGAAACCCGGAACATAAAACTCGTCGGAGTCGGACTTCCGATGAGGAAGGTTCAGCCAAATAGACATGTAAGCAATGGTTCCATAGGCACCGCAAGTGGTGAACGCAATGCTCTTGGTGCCAAAACTCTTGGCAACGTCGGATACCCAGCCTAAGAAGACATCGTAGATGATGCAGAGAGGAGGACGACCTTCTTCTTGGGTGATTCTGGAGATTAGGGATCGAAGATGGGGTTGGAGGCTCAGAGCTGCAAGACCCAGGTTTGGAAATAGAGGAGGAGGGATCTTCTCTGCGTTCTCTATGTTGGGCGGAAGGCCGTGGCTGATGGGCTGGAAGGGTAAAGAAGCAAGCTGGAGATCGGAGGAAGAAGAGGAAATGGCGGATTGGAGGTGTTGGATGTTGAGAGGAGTGTTGGCTATGGTGATGGAGAACGAGGTGTGTTGGTGGATAAGTCTAGCTAGAGCCAGAAAGGGTATGAGATGGCCATGAGCCATGAAAGGGACCATCACAATATGACCTTCCTTCTTCTCCGCCATTGGAGCGCAAATTGAGCTCAAGTTTCAATTACGGTTTCAGAGATAGCACTACCAGGAGGGAATGAATTTAATGGAATCTCCAGCACGATTGGAGGGCCCAGCCCAAGGCTTAAATGGCGTGGCCCCTACATTTTCTTTCACTTGGAGTTGAATAGTCGAAGACTGCTTCCTGCTCTAAATTAGGCAAAGACACTTTCATTTAAACATATTTCTGATTATGAAAGATAAGGAGTGATTAGGGGAGTGTTCGGAGCTAGAATGAAATGATGCCTTAAATCCACGAGATTGATAGTAAGAAGTAGGAAGAGGAGACATTTGACGGAAGGAAGATGTGAGAGTCAGTCGATCAATGAATGGCCGTAATTGACTGTTGTGGTTAGAAAGGAAGAAACTCGTGAAGGACTTGCAGAATGCAAAACTATGACATCTGCATTTTATTGCATGCTTTTAAAAATATAAAATATTTTTATTTAAAAAATTAATATATAATTTTGCCCTTAAATTATTCAAATATTGTTCCTAAATTACTCATCATAACAATATTATTTTTAAACTAATTAAATCCGAGTAATATTGCTCCTACCATTTAAACATCCATCAACTGTAGTTAATTGGACTCACTTTTTATGAATTAAGATGTAATTTTGTCTCTAAATTATTCTTAAAGGAGCAATATTCTCCTAAACTAATTAAATCAGAACAATGTTGTTTCCGCCGTTTAAAAATTATAACGTTTGTTAATTAGAGAGAGATAATAAAAAGTATTTTTTGTACTAATACTGTTCCATTCACATTTTTTTTAACATTTAATATTCATATAAAAGCATTTATTTGTGACATAATATTCTCCATCAACACTCCAACAACTCATGAACTATACATTGAGTAGAAACTCTATTTTCGTACTAATTTTCTTCAGTGACAAATATGACAATAGTTGAAGTATAAATTTACATTAATAACATTACAAGAAGAACTCTTGATCCAACAAAAAGCATATAAATAACATTTTTTTTGGGTAAAAGGGTCACTTCTTATCATTTTGAGTAGATCAACCTATAAATTGACTATCATGAATAAATGAGTTAAGGGTCAATTTTATTTTCAAAGTATATGCAAAAATTCATAAATGACCCTAAACTCAACCATGAGTCATTTATATCCCTCAATTTCAAAGATTTTTTGGTTTTATCACCCTGGTGTTTTCTTCGTCAAATTTTTTGTTAGTGGGGGCCACTTTTGAATTTTTTAATATTTTTTATTATAAAATATTACTCGTGGGCCCTAAAATAATTTTTAAAATATTTTTTATCCTCTCTCCCTCTCTCTGTAATCATCTCTAATCTTCTTTATTATCATCTCCTCATCTCTCTCGTTGTCCTTCTTGTCCTCCGATAAGTCTGAGCATTGGGATCTGAACATGGTTGTCGAAGTGTTCATCAAATGAGGCTACGAGAATCTAAAGCCTCACCATTCAACTTGATCATTCCTTTTAAGATCTCTCTAGGCACTCTATTGTCGAGGGCATCAATCAGTGTTGATTTACTGTGTCATTTTGAGCATTTTGTGAAACCTTTGGGAGTGTGTAATTAAGGAGTTAAATATTTGACCTCTTAAAGGTTTGTGATAATCAGGAAATTCTCTCTTATACTTTTGCGTGTCAATTGATTTATTAATTTGTGCTTTACAAGTGAAATGTATGAAATTTCTTAATGCAAGTGTGGCATGAAATGTTTAAAAAATTATGTTATAGTTTTATGAGTTCAATGATTGTAAATAGGTAAAGTATAATAATAGTGAAAATGTAAAGTTCTATGAAATAATGTTAATTGAGTGCCATGACTTGTTTTATTTAGAGTTCAATGATGCAATTTGTGATGGAGTGCAATGATTATATTGTATGTTAAGTGAAGTTCAACAATTATGTCATAAAGGAGTTCAATGACATAATGTGTTGCAGAGTTCAATGATGCATATTAAATGTAATTATGCAATAAATAACATAATAAGTGTAATGATAGCACATTGAGATAATTGAGTATGCTTAGGTAGTAAACACTTGCATGCTATGGGTTATTGCATATTTATGCATTACATAATCATGAGGTAGGAATTTACCTAAGAAGAAGAGTAGAAAATTAAAATCCACATGGTAAGGCTTCCGTCAGAGCTCGATGGTTAGCCTAAATTTGTTATTCAAATCGTCCTACTGGTTTAATAAGGGATTGTCTTACTAGTTCAATGAGGGACTCAAACCTAGTTAGTTATCTACTTGTTCAATGAGAAAGCTAGTCTAGGAAGAATGATATCCAATAGTGTGAGAAATGAGAAAAACCATAATTCACAAATGAGTTAGGCAACATTGGCTAGGTAACCTCTCATGTGTGTTCTGGCTAAGGTAGTCTCAGTTCATAAACGATCCTAATGTTTTAGCCCACAGTTTCTTGCCAAAGGCATAAGAAAGATATAAAAGAGGTATAATCATGTATATAGAAATAAAAGGACACATGATTGTCTATATTGTAACCCTAGTAATGAAAATCATGAGATTAGTCTTATATCTATGTGAAAATGTGTTAATAAGTTATTATCTTATGAATACATGTTAATATGAATGAGAATTGTGATTAGTGTTTCTTGATCATGCTAAATGAATTGAGAATAATATCTTACCACTTGCATTTAAATTGATTGGCATGCATTAGTATGAGTTAAATGAACATTAGTTACTGAGTGGTTGTACTCACCTCACTATCTTTAATATTATAAGAACTAGCTCAAAGGGACAGGATAGAGGGAAACAACCTGAGGCATAAGAATACTATCCTATTTATAGGCCTCGTTTTCTTTTTGAGTATTAATGTGTATATTTTTACATGATATTGCCAGCTAGGGATAATTCATATTGTAACTTACTTACACTATATGTTTTGTTAAATTACATAGTGTATTTCAAGCCCTAGGGTGTATATGTATTGATTGTGAGATTTATAATAAGGCCACAATACTAATGCAAGTAAAAGTTGTGTATGACACTTGAATTGTGATTATTAATTAATGAAATTTGTGATTGGAGCTCCCCATGTTGTTTTTGAGGTTAAAGAGTTAAGTTATGAAAAATGTGTATTGATAGTGACATGGTGCATTGCATAGATCCGTTTTAGTCTATTGAGTATAGTCAGGGTGGTGTTTATAGCTTTTGACTTTTGATAGAAGTTTTGGACACTCAAGTAATGTGTAAATGTTAAAAAGAAGTGAGTTTTGAAAAGAATGTCCAACTTTTACCTAATAGATAATTTGATTGTAAAACCAAAGTCATTAGCTAGAGCTAAAAAAAAGCTTTTTATAGACATCTAGATCATGTCAATTAAATATTGGATGGAAAATTAAGGCATATCAAAAGTTCGCCCAATTGCTGTCAAAATCGTGTAATGCACCACAATGCATTGTGCCCATATATGCCTCCTTTTTTGCACTGTTTCACTGTTTTCCAAATGTTAGCAAATGCCTTGATTCTTTTGAAATTTCATGCTTTCACATATTAATCAAACTTTGATTTTTTGCTTATGAAGAATTTTTAGGATGTTTTAAAATATTAAAAACTTAGGATCTCATTTGTGAAATTTAACAAACTTGATAATTGCTATGATGTTTGGAACCTAAGGAGAATTAGTAATAACAACCTTACTTGTCTCACCTGGAGATCTTACAAACTTTAAGGAAGCTCTTAAGCAATCAAAAAATTCTAAGAGCAATCAAATCTACAATTAGAAATTAAACATCATTAATGACTAATTGTCATTAATTATTCCTTAATCATGATTCAAGCCTAATACCCTTGTTAGGTGTGATTAAGCAAAAATCAATACCAAAACTTATTCTCAATAGCTTATTCAACCTTCTTTACATTTAAATTAGCTATTTAGCATTTGGGTTAACTCTAAACCATTTTAATTAGTTTAATCTAACCCAAAGCAACTTTAAGTTTTGAATCTAAGCACTCCCTTATGATAACTATCATTAAAACCAGCTAAATAACACCTATTTTGTAACATCCCAATTTAAATTTTAATAGTTAATTTGGGTTAATAGAAATTTAAAAAAAATATTTAGAGGTAAGAAAATTAGTAAGAGATGATTATTAAATCTAACTTAGGATATAATTCTAAAAAAATAATTAATTAAAAATAATAATAAAAAATATTATTAAAATATTATTATTATTATTATAAAAAAAAGAAAAGAAAAGTGTAAAAACAAAAAAGGAGAAGAACAAGGAAACTTTCGGCCGCCGCACATCAACAATGAATATTATAATAATATTAAAAAAAAGGGGAGAAAGAGAAAAGAAGAAATAATAAAAAAATGTGTGGGACCCATTGAATTTTTATAAAAACTCACCTGTTCCTTCATTTCTTCATTCCTTCTTTCGTGCGTGAGCTGAGGCAGAGAGAGCATCTGTGAGCCAAGTTCACCGGTGCTGGGTTTTAAGGTAAGAGTTTTTAATAGGATATTTAGGGTGTGATTTTAAGCTTTTCAAGACTAAGTAAGTGTTTTAAAATTTTTTCTTAGTCATCCTTCTTCTTTGGTTTCTGAGTTTGTAGTGGTAGAAAATTTAAGATCTGGAAGAGGGATGAATTTATGTTGAATAAATATGATTTTTGAGGTTGTCAGTAGTATAATAAATGTTCTAGAGTATAAATTTATTGATAATCTTTGAATCTGTGGCTTATGGATCAAATTCTAAACTAAATCTGAAAATATATGTTGATTTATTGAGGTTTAGATGATTATTTGGGATGAGAAATGAATTATTATGGTTATAGGATTATGATTCTAAGCTAGAGAATCAATTTTTAATTTTTGGTATTTTAGGTACGAATTTATGAAATAAAAAGAAAATTTTGATAATAGAAATTAGTTTAGAAGTTGATTTTTAGATTATTAATGTTTATTAATAATTAAAAGAGGAGTTAAAAATTTTACTTAATAGTATTAACTATAGATTTGTATTAAGATTGAGATTAGGAATTATGTTATATTTTTAATTCTATTATTAGAATTATTTTATTAGTTTTAAAAATTGAAATAAATAATATGTTATTTGTAAATTGTATTACTAGTGAAGATTGTGGTGAGAGAGAAATTTTAAGAAATAATTTATTGAAAAAGCACAAGGTAACCATGCTTTTATTTATGATTTGTGTTACTTCATATTAATTGGGTGATTATTAAGAAAATTATAAATTTTGTAATATTATATAATTGTGCAATATTATTATGAATTTGTTTGATTATTGTAGAGGTGTTGAAAACTTGCTATTATTGTTGTATTTATGTGCCACGTGGTACGCCCCTATTGGAGCTCAATAGGTGGTTTGTAAGGGCTCGGGCTAATCTACCTTTGGCCGGGTAATTTAGCACCGAGTGAGGGCTACGGCTCGAGGTTAATGGAGGGATATAAGGATGGTTGTTTGTGTATATTGTAATATTTTTTTATATTTGTTGGAATTATATTATTTTTAATTCTCACTTAGTAAGCACACACTTAACTGTTTGTATACACTATCATAAATTGGCTTTGGTTACTGAGACTTTTGAGTCTCATTATGTGGTTAACAATTTTCAGGAGAAAAGCCACGAGTGACATGTAGAGAAGTCCCAGAGGCTTAGTGGTATAGATCCACTATCTCTTTTGGGTATTTAAATTATGATTTATAATGTGTTATATTGCCAATATTAGGGCTTTTTGTTTATTGTCAATTATATGAATATATAAATGTAATCATGCTTTTCAAACTATTTCTATGTTTGGTACAATTTGGATGACTGTAATTTTAATATTTGGTTTACTTTGAATTGGTTAAAATGGTATGATTATAAGGCCAAATAACTTGCTTGTGTTGAAAATTTATTAAATTGCTTATTTTACTTGTTGGGAGTATAAGGATGGACAAATGTGATTAGTTTACTTGTTGGAGTATAAGGATGGACAAATGTGATTTAGCCTAATGGCATGTGGGAGGTAAAAATTTATCTAAAATGTTATAATGTGTGAGTTGAAGCCAATTATAAAATATTTTATATTGAAATTATTGATATAAAAATGTGTTGGGTGGTTGTAACCCAACTATGGTTGAGTTAAATTATTTAAAAAAAAAATTTGATGTGTTACATATTTAATTCAAACAAACCTTATCATTCAGACGTAATGGTTAGGCATCCTCAAAAACGAAAATCCAAACATAATTTTTACAAAAACCAACATAAAGAGGAGTTTAAAAGGTAGAAAAGGGATTATGGAAGGTTACCGTGACTAGAGGCTTACAAAATGTGCTCTAAACATATTCTTTATGAAATCCTAGTGCTCTTAAAAAATTTCCCTAAGCCTCTTAAAAACTCACCTCTTCTATTTTGTTTCACAACAAAAAATTTAAATATTAAAACGTGCTATTGGTTGTGGCTAAGAGTGCTATTAACTGCGGCCAATAGTACAGCTTCATTGATTCAACTTTAAAAATTCATAATTAATTTTACATATCTTCAAAAATTATGAATTAGGAGTCTATAGAAAGATTTAGATGTCTACTTTCTAATGCAAAAACAATTACTCAAAAATATTATTGTTTGCTCTTTTAAAATCTTTGATTATAAAAATAGCTCATTTTTTTATCTTCTTCCAAGCCCTAATTGATTATAAATCATTTTTCAATGTATATAAATAATCTTAAACTCTCTTAAAATATAATTAAACTTAATTAACTCAAAGGGTAAGAATTTGGGATGTTACAAGTTGTTCATTTCCCTACATAATGTTGTTCATCTCCATAAATAAAGTTGTTCATTGCCTTATCTTTGTTGTTTATGCCATGACTTAATGTTGGTTCTAGTCATTTAAATCATGTTAAGATGAGTTGTTTATTTGCATTTATACTGTTGTTCATTTTTCTATGAACTGTTGTTCATTGGCCAATTGGAGTTGTGTATAACGTTACTTTCACTTGATTTTATTCTAGACGTTGCTTTCATGTTAAGATGAGTTGCTCATTTGCATACACATTGTTGCTCATTTCCCTAAGAACTATTGTTCATTGGCCTACTAAAGTTGTTTATAATGTTCATTTCACTTGATTTTATTTCAAGTGTTGCTTTCATGTTAAAACGAGTTGTTTATTTGCCTATGTATTGTTGTTCATTTCTCTATGAACTATTGTTTCATTAGCTTACTAGAATTATTTATAATGTAACTTTCACTTGATTTTATTTCAAATGTTGATTTCATGTAAAGACAAGTTGTTCATTTGCCTACACATTGTTGTTTATTTCCCTACAAACTATTATTCATTGACCTACTAGAGTTGTTTGTTCATTTGCCAACATACCATTACTCAATTCTCTACAAATTGTTGTTCATGGCCTACTAGAGTTGTTTATAACGTTACTTTCACTTAGTTTATTTTAAATGTTGTTTTTATGTTAAGACAAGTTGTTCATTTGCCTACATATTTTTATTAATTTCCCTACTAACTATTTTTTTTATTAATTTAAAAGAGGATTAATTTTGTCATTTTTCTCAGCATCTTAATTTCACTTCAATACCCTTGAACTGAAGGAAAGTTTCAGAGTTTTTAGGGCTATCTTTTTTATTAACTATGATCAAAGCGGGTCTTAAATGAAATTTTCCCCCAGAAAAAGTGTGCATTATTAGCACCCGGCCGCAATAAATAAATCAATTTTTTCGATGCACAAGCATTGTACGCTAGGTACGCACATTATGAAAACACAGATAAGGCTAGGTTAATTCATAATCAACGTTCTAGAGATCTAATTAAAACGTACAGAAAGAGAGAATTAGGAATTGGGAGACTAAGATAATGAGTCGTATTTAACTTTGTCGACAAAGTAAATTAAAAGATGTTTTTTTGGTGATTTATAAACATAATATATTACAATAAAACCAAAACAGCCACAAGCATATATGATTCATATTAACAGGATTAAGCGACTTTTTGCTGGCTGCAGCAGCAAGACTATTAATTAATTAATTAATTAAATGATACATATACATAACACAGGTATAAGTATAAGCACACACCATCACACAACTTAACCACACACCATTGCATAAATGTTTAGACAGTAGTATAAAATAATTAAGACAAGAATAATGCATGCACAGGATAACTAATTAAACAACAATCTCAAAATTAATTAAATAACTGTGTTAGAGAGAATACAAAGGATGTGCATCAAATACACGAACCAATAGATATATTCATGCATCTCTCTCTCTCTACCCCTCTCTCACATATATTATCTTACCACAAACGCCCAATACATGTATTCAACAGATCCCACCAAATTCTAATTTTATGAGAGAGAGATTTGCGTAAGTGTGTGTAGCATTTACCCGTGATGAAGAGGCATATATATTATTACGGCTGAAATTATATAAGGAATATGTATGCATGTATGTATGTATCCTTACGATGATGATATCCTTGTCAGAGATGTGTAAGCAACTAATATATACCTGTGATGTATATATCGGCCCCCTTCCCCTCCATCTGATCATGATCATGGCATCAGCTTAATAAATTCCAAAATCTTCCATTTTCAATTCATGTCTGTGAGATGCTTGTCACGATCATCACCTTCATATGAAGGAATGATGAAGAGTCACTAGGAAGAGTGATGAGCTATGGTTTGCATGACGTGAACCTGGGAAGCAAGGCAAGTCACAAAATGAGCAGTTTCCTCCAATAAGTTGCAAATATCCATCAGCTTCCCTCCCGGCACTACTTCTCTTAGTTTGTCTGTCTGCCTTTTCATGAGCCCATCGTCATCGTCATCGTCATCTTCATCATGAGGACGAGAATCACCAGTTCTATTCTTCTTCTTCTTCTTATTCGTCTTATTGATCTTACCTGATGACCATCTTGATCTACTACTGATGATCTTTCCCCTCATCCTTCTCCTCGCCATCATCATCGAGAAATGATGGTGATGTCGTCTCCTTCGGCTCAGCTTCATCAGAATGGCTCGGCTCCAAGCCCTCCTCGGCCCAACTGCACGAGCCATACACCAATAAGCCGCCATCTTTATTCTCTCGCTTCGCTTTCTCATCACGCATACTGAAGACGGTCCGGCCTTCCTCATCCTGGACAAGGATCTCAAAAATCTGCGAGCAAAATTCATCTTAGTAAGAGGATTGGCGGTGAAGATGGTGCCTTCGCGTGGTGTCATGGCTGTGCTGTGGGCACGTGAAAATACGTACAAGGAAGAGCGGAGATCCTAAACCAAAAACGGTAAAGAGAAAGGAAAGAAAAGGAAAAACCAGAAGGCAAAGAGAAAGCTAAGAGAAGTTAAAATCTGGGTGTGTGGCGGGGATTCTTATCCTAGTACAACAAACTCTGACACAAATCACTTTTTCTCAGTTTGGATTGGAAGTTGGGATTTGCTTGTGACACAAAACAAAAGGGTCCTCCTCTCTTATTTCAAAGTACAAACTGAAAGCCCGAGAGAGAGAGAGAGAGAGAGAGAGAGAGAGAGAGAGTTATAATATTGGGGGTGGGGGTAAATGGAGGGGTAAAGCCGTTAAGGTGTGATTGAAGAATAGGTATCGAAATAATGGAGAGAATAAAGGAATATAAGGAAACTTGATGGAAAAGATAGATTTTTAAGTAATTAGTTAATTAATTAATGAGTAGTGAAAACATTAAAAAAAAAAAGGAAAGAAATGCAAATATGTGATATTGGAAGGGATGAAGAATATGAAGAGACGATACATGAATGGGATGCATGAAAAGGGAAAATGAGAGAGAAGAGGTTGCTTTTAAGAAGGGAAAGAATGTTGAGGTCACATGGACGTGGCCGTGAGAGAGAGAAGGTCCTCATAAGTACAATGTCACATTGTGGCTCTTTCAGTGGCTGTGGCTCAATGCCGGATCAGGAGTGTCTCCGCTCTTTTCCTTCACTTTTTCTATTCTCACTATTCAAATTTTTTTATTAAATAATTTTTTTAAATGATAAAATTAATGAACAGTGAAAATGAGGGAAATGGAGAGAAAAAAAAAGAAGAGTCGCATGATCCCTCAATGCCATGCTCTCTCTCCCTCTCTCTCATCCTTCAAAGGCCAAATGACACTTTTCAACAAACACGATAACCATAATAACATTTGAAAACCCACACCCTTCATTCACATTCAAAGGGGGGAAATCAATGGAGTAAAATATTTTGAATCATGAACACACGTTAGGCTTTTTAAGTTATCTATTTAGGCTGTAATTTTTAAAAGTCAGGTTGCAAAAATGAAGACTCTTTAATTCAATTTTTACGAACTTGTTAAAAATAGACTCAAATCCTGACTAACTCTTATTGACATTTTTAAAAATATTCATATGTACCCATTTGAAAGTTAGAAATTTTGAAAGCTTGAGTGGAATCATTTTCAATTAAGTATTGTTTTTAAAAATATTCATCCTCCAACATTTAACTTAACTTTGAGAATTCTGAAATTATATGTAAAAAGGGGCATTTTGGTGACCAAAACTGTAATTGTTCTTTTCATGTGGCGGGAAAGTGTTATTTTGGCGGAAGAGGGATCAGAGAGGGAGAGAAAAAGGAAATGAATGAATATATATATTAAAAAAGGGGGGGGAAGAGAAGGTTGGAGAAGTGGGTTTGGGGGCCCACAAGAGGCCCAACAACCACATGAGGGCACATGGTGGAGTCCCCCACCCACTTGCTTCGGAACCTTTTTATGCCTTCTAACACTAATCCCCCTCATTACTTTCCTATTTTTTTTAATTATTATTATTATTGCTTTTTTATGGTTAGGTGAGGTTTACATCTTTTCTTTATCGTTTCTCATTTGTCTTCCTTAAGCTACCTTCCTTCCAAAGTACGTTCACCCTCTCTCTCTCTCTCTCTCTCTCCATTTTCTTCTTTACAACACCACCTACGTACTCCTTTACATATTTTCACTATTTGTACAAAATTCCTTTTTGATTAATCTATCTGTCTATTATCCATCCACCTGTTCCAAAACTCTTTTGATCCAACCAAAAAAGAAAAGGAAAACCCATTCCTTCACTGTAGAGTGTAAACTGTGTTTATGGAAGGAACCATCATGTCGGCATATGGCCGTGTCCACTTATATGTCCTCATTTATTATTTTCTTCCCATAGAGAGGAAAAAGAAAAAGAAGACGATATTTTGTGATACAAATAAGAAAGACGAGTTTTTAATTATTATTAATCAAGACTCCATTGCCCTTGCGTCTTTCCTAAGGCTTTATGCATGTACTCTCTCAACATTCAACCAAGTATAAAAGGCCTATGCGTGCTGAATATTTTCCTTTTATATTTGTGTGTGTGAAAAAATATAGTCATCGATACTTATAATTTTATTAAATTTTATTTTTAATTTTTTTATAATTTTATTTTTACTATTTTCAGTCCTTATGAGAATTGAAAACATTAAAATTATAAAAATTGAGTGACAAATATCACATAATCTTATTGAAACTATAGAAATTAAAAATATAAAAAAAATATAAGAATTAAAAGCAAAATTTGATAAAATTATGGGACGAATGATTGTATTTTTCCTATATATGTGTGTGTAAAAAACTTGAGATTAGAGTGAGCAAAATCGAATTAAAATCAAAAATCGAATCAAATTTTTATTATTTGATTCATTTGATTCAGTTGTTTAAAAAAAATAGTTTGGTTGATTAATTCAATTTGGTTAGTAAAATTTAATACTGAATAGACCGAACCAACTAAATTATCACATATATATACATATAATTTATTACTTTATGAATTATATTTTATTAATTACTTTATTTTATTTTGTTCAATTAATAAATTATATTTAATTCATTAATTACTTTATTTTAGTTTATTCTTTTTCAATTTTGTACTTAAATAAAAGTGAATATATGATATAATAAGTTGAAACCCTAACCCCTCATTAAAATGTGCTACTATCATTTTATAAGCTCAATTATATATATAAATCTTGTCTGTTTTAATAGAAAAAATATTCAAAATTGGCCAAAGTCCAAACAATCCAACATAAAGTCTAAAATCAAATTCACTAACCGAACTGAAATGTCAAATTTGGATTTGGTGCTTTTTTAATTTGATTATCTTATTTGGTTCATATTTGAATGTTATTCGATTGATCAATTGATGTTATATATTTTGGCACCGAATCGAGCGATGCTCACTCCCACTTGAGACAATGTAAGAAGTCTCATATTGGATAAAGTTAGGTTTAAAAACTAATATAAAATAATAAGTAAAGACTCAAAAATTTAAGCTTTAAAATTGTGAGTTAAGATATAATATATTTTTGCTAATATTACCCATTTCTCCTCTCTTCCCATTCCCAAGCAATCACTCCACACTCCTAACAAATGGTATGACTTGTACTCCATTGTTTTTTTATTGTTAGAAAAACTATTACTTTTTACTTATATTTTTTTATAAGCAAAATCACTTATTTTAATAAGCGTTTATTATGCATTTCTTAAATCACTCCTCATAATATATATTAATAAGAAATAATTAATACATGTTTATGTTGATTAACGTAAGGTATTTTAATCTAATTTTTTTATTTTTAAACATAATTATTAAAGTTAATCAATTTTTTTAAATTGTATAATATAATTTTTTATCTTATATATAAAAACAGAGAGAGTATGCACTAACACCGTTCAAAGCCCAAAGAGCTATAGTGGCATTAAAATGTTGCCTTTTTCTTCCCTCCCCATTGTTTGTATGTTCCCTCTCCATTTCTAACAATATATATGTGGGCGTTTAAACAATTCAACTATATATATTCATATCTTCATAAATACAATTATTTAATAAGAAAATAAAGAAATACCTTTCCTTGGTCCATAGACATGCATTCACGAACAAGAAATCCTTATGTGATAGGCGCCGTCTCATCTTTCGCTCTCTGTCTCTCATTCTATTTCCTGAATCACATTCCTTTGATTTCAGTTTTTTTTTTTTAATGCTTGTATTAAAAATAAAGAGAAAAATGCTAAAAACGAGCTCATTCGAAATGAAAGGAAAGAGAAGGATAACTGCCTCGCTAATTAAGATCAGTATTATATTAACAAAGGGATGATTGTAATTATGTTTTTGTTTTGTTTATGGATGAAATTATTTTTACATTTTTTTAAAAATTTTAAACTTTTTCTAAGTTGTTGATTGCTTGGCGTGTTCATCGAGTTGGGCATGGAGCTAGTTTGAAACTCAACCCGACTTGACCTGAAAATATTCCTAACTTTAACATACCAATCAGTTTTTTTCAAAATTACATTACATCTTAACTAATCCAAATTGTTAGATCGGCTCACAAGGGTATAAAACTCACCCACCCAACAACAGTCGTATTTAAATAAAAAAAATTGAACTCGACCTTATTTATTAGATATGACCATATCTATTTTGATTTCTTGCATGTAAAATGTAAATAACATTCCCTATCCAAGAAAAATGTAAGCAACATTTAAATAATGACAAATCAACATAAAATACGTACATAATTAATCCATAGCAAATTATATTATCCATAAACTGTAATTAAATAATACTGACAGAACACACTGATTTGTACTGTACACAAACACTTAGCTTTTGACCATCCTTTTCCTTCACTGAAGGATCATAATAAGGTCCAGGAACTGCAATCTGCTGTATATATACCAACAATAACAAGCACTTGGATGCTACAGTACGCTTTGTCCAGGTTGACAAAAGCATTTACCTTGGCGCTCCCATATCTCCTGTGCCCAACTATGGCGGGCGTCAGTACGAGATTTCTGGCTCCATCACCATCACACAGGTGGCACTGACTTCACCTTTTACACACACACTAAACTAATACATTCACACAGGTTTTACTTGTGATAGACATACAACAGGACCAAAATATATAATAAGGTTTGGTGGCCTGTAATGGTGCAAGTCGTGAAAAAGCAAGGATATTATCCAGCCAGCCAAGCTGTCTGCGATCTACCTTGGTGATGGCCAGCAGATTGTCTGTCCGATGCGAGCTCGGATGGAGTTGCAGGGCATGCAAGCTATTTCAGGAAGATAAAATACCTGCATCTGTATCACAAGGTTGTTCAGCTTAACGCCACACCTCGCTGGCTGCTACGCCTTGAAATACTTTGGTGATGTCTGATCATTCATTCACAATATATGCATCACTATAATTTTTCAAATCTCATGTATAATATGTTATCATTAACCTTTTGTGTTCACTATAGTCATTGTATATATATCAGAATCATTTGTCAAGCATAAATGGCATAATGCAGAACCGACAAAACTCTCTCTACCTTTTTTCTTCTTTTAATCCCAAAACGACTAGCAGGCCTATACAGTCGCATTAGCAAAACAGAAGCATTATATACTTAGCAAACAACATTGGTTTTTATTATTACTTTTAAAATATTAGTAAGTGATTCAGGATTCAATTTCCAGTTCTAGCTTATAGAGCAAACTTAGTTATAAAAGGCCTGCCCCTTGAATTTGTCCCTCATACTTCAAAAGAGATTAGTCTTTACTGTTAGCAGGGGATACCCTTAGTCCCACCAAAAAAATAATAGTAACAAAAATTGGTTAGCAAGCTATGGTTAATAAGACACCGAGAAGCCTTATCTTCCTCCTGGAGTCCCTATATGAATTGACAGCTATAATTGTTATTATTGATCGGCAATAATTCTTGAAAAGAAATAGGAACCAATTTTTATGGCACTAACCTAATCCAAAAGCATAGTTGGAGGTCAAGCCTTCTTTGACTCTAATTTTGGTTGGAAATATATCTGTTAAATTGTTGTCATCACTTAATTATAATTTAATTGGCAGTTATATATTCAATGCCACAAATGCAGTAGATAAGATTAAGGGGGACCAAGAAAGCAACAGTTTAGCAAATTAAGCTTAACTTTTCTTCATTTCTCCTTGTCCCGTCTTCGGGACGTACCATTATATTTTGGCGAAGTTCACACTCTTGTGGTGTTTGAAATGGACACAGCCAACAGCCTAACATGCGCATTTAATTTCACTGACAAGGATCGATTAACAGCTAGATGAAGTGTTTCCTGTACAACTAATCTGAGTCATGTTTTTTGTTTTAAATGGCTTCAAATTTACTCATCTTAATCCAAAAGGAACTCCCCTTTGCCTTGTAATTACTATCAATTCACCTGACTTTTTTTTAAATTAGCTTATCAGTTATATAACATGAAGGGTAACACGTTAAGAAATTTTGATTCATAATCGAAGCTTTTATATTTAACAATAATTGTCCAATAAAAACCTGATAAATATTTGTTGCACAACTTAGTACTATATGATTAACCCTGAAAAGAGTACCTAGATATTTTTTTTATTAAAAAAATCTAGTAATATGTAGCTTTATGTGGGTTTGCGCATCCACCAATACTGTATTCACATCATCTAATTTGATCATCAAAATTCATTAGAATTGATCTTTTATTCCATTCGGAGTTGTACACAGTAGTTTTACAGGGAGATTCAAAGGTTTCAAAATTAGAAACCGCTCGCTTACATGCTAGTCCCATACCCTCAATCTGTCTCTCCAGCTTAAATAAACCTCTCCTTGAAATGCAAACCACCCACATGTTAAGTTCAACCCATCACCGTAACTCTGTCATCCATAGGCTCTCGCATATCTATTGTCATCAGAACCCATCTAGCAGCCAGCCACTTAAAATAGTTCATTCATAACTTACGATCACTTTTGAACCCAAGAAAGAAAATCAATGGTTAGAGTGAAAGCAATCACAAACCAATTCCATAGTAGACTATAAAACCCAAACTTCTACCAGGAAAATAGAAGACTTATTAGAAAGACAAAATATTACAAGGAGAATGAGATATCCTAGAAGGAATCAAAGGGTACAATAAAATCAAAAGAACAAAGATGATAAATCTCATCATAACCACATTTAACACAACCATTCTAAGAGAAGCCAAAAAGTACTGCCATACACTAGCTGCAGGGGAAGCTGAGAAAGATGCAAGCATTCTCCAATGCCAAAACCCCAAGCATATGAGTTTTTGACTAAAGAGATGAAAAAAATAATACACTTAATTGGAGGATTGGATGTTATGTATATGAGTTTTACCCTTTGAAGTGATCATATATGATAGATTCTATAAAAAATCAACTTAAAATACAAAAGAAAGTCATCGGTGTTAATTAGAAGCACCTCAACTTTTGCATTGAAATTGAACTATATTACATTTGATCATATATGTTTGATCCAATTACTATAACCAGAGGGAAAAACAAGAAAAAAGAAATCAACTTGAGCGAACTAATGTAAACTGCTCGGTTGAAGTAATGAAAACAATGGAAGAATAGGATGAGGAATGTACAAAGCTGCCCATCCAGCCAAATCGCAAGAAATGTGACAAACTTGTCGGACAAGACATTTCGTCTTCAGAAGCATATCATTTATCACATTTTAGAAGGAAAACTCTGTAAAGAACCCAACAAAAAAAACAGACAAGTAGACTAATCAGTCCAATGAGTACACAATTTCTATGAAACCAGTACATTTTTCAGATAAAATTTAGGAATGAAAGAAATCACAAACTCCTGGATTCTTCAAATGTTATGGAAAACATCAAGAATTTGACAGACAGTAAAAGAGACAAGGGTTTCTTGCTGTTGACAAGTACTGCGGCGACACAAAGTTCTAGGTTGCTAGACAATTCTGATGACATTCACGCAGACATTGCGTTGTCTCTCCCAAAACCCCCCCCCCCAAAAAAAAAAAACTACCAGAAGACTGCCAATGCAAAGGCAAATAAAAGTACAATCACAATTGAACGAGAAAGACTTGCCATGTTAGTGAGAGAAAAACAAGACTACTCAAGATCCTTTTGGTCCAGTGGTGCAAAGGGTGAGTAGTGAGCAACAATTTACACCGACAAACTTTCATTAGCGCACCCTTTCTTATTATAATTAACAATCACTCTCACAAAGGGGCAGATGGGAGGCATCTGAGCACTACAGACACAAGGTCGGCTAGAAGACAAGAGCAAAACAAGATAATTATCAAGTTCAGAGAACAGCAACGGCATGAACCATCTTCAATCATTAAAAATAATCAATGTAAAACAAATTCTTACAAACCAAGCATGATTCACTATTATTGAATTTGTGCAAGTTACTTATGCCAGACATATACTGATACAGAGTAACAAGTTTTGCATATTGGAAAAATAGCATTCAATATTATGAAATAGTCCCACACTGAGATGCTACAACTAATCCAGATAGTACTTTAGGGGTGTGGTACTTCCCTCTTAAATCTTGTTTGACAGGTGGATCCCAATGTTTGCTTAAATTTCCATCAATTGGCATCTGAGATTCAGAGTTGGACCAAGCTCCTCAAAATTAACTATATGAGAAGGGCACAACCTATTGAGCCAGAGTGAGCACCAGAGTGCAACAGTTGGAGATGTCAGTTCTTGAAGGGAAGTGTTATGGTGGAGTCCCACTTTGGGAAGCCACAAATCGAATGGTAGGTTCTCATCTTCGCTTAGCTTTCCATCATAAACTATGATGAAAAAAATCCTAACTTTGATTGTATGATATCTGCAATCCTTAACTCATGTCAAATATCATAAAGTTGCTCACCTTATTCTCCCCTCCAATCTATTAATTCACTCCGAGGCACATATAGCTTTGCAGCTCGCTCTTCTGCCTCAGTATCATTTACAACACCTCGACATCTTGGGAAGCCACAATAACAAGCTAATCGTTCATCAATTGAAAAAAACCTGTTACATGAATTCAAGAAACTCAGAACAGTAGTGTAACAAGAAAACATAGACTCTCTTTGGAAAGACATTAGACCTATAATCATATGTGAGCTCCTCCCATTGTTTAATATCCCTCTTCGCAAATATTATAATGTGCTCATCACCATTAACACTGATCACTCTTGAGTAGCAATTTGGCTGCACGTGACAAAAAGTAAATAGGTGAGCAATTAACTAGGCCCTGAACTTGTTCATTTCTTAAAGCCTACAGGTGTGCATTGATTCTTCGGGAAATTGAATTGCAGCAATTTAAAACCAAAATCAATAATCATACTTTAATGCTCATATCAGGCCAATTGAATATCAAGATCATTGTGCTCTGACATTTACTTGCATTCTATGGGATCTTATTTATACTTGCAGGAAACTTTTACCAGCAAATGACAATCTACCTATTCTGTTAAAAAGATGACAATCTATCTGATGTAAAGACATTTAAGAGTACTGTAAAGGATACAAAGTGACCAAAGTATTCTCAGGCCAGAGAATATAAATCTCCATTTGTAAAAGTCTGTGTGATTAACAGACAATTGAAAATTGCAAAATCAATTCATCAAACTTCAAATTAACAAAATCACTAGTAATACAGATGCAGTAAAAGGCAAACATCAAATCCAGGGAAAAGTTACATACTGCACAAGAATGATTAATCAAATGAGCAATGCTTCCTGCTCTAGTAGCATCAATGACTCGTTCATCATCAATCCGAAACATGTATGTTCCAGCACCCTGCTTAAGAGACCAGAAGTCAAGTTACTGCATCCTGCTTATGCATTTACAGAACATTCTGATTCTGAAGTTTTACTCCTCTTTTTAGCTAGTTTCCTTTCATTGCCAGTGGGAAAATTTTTGAAATGTTACTGATGTTTGTATGAGAAGCAGTGCCTCAAGCCAAAAAGCAAATGCAAGGTCAATGGCTAGAACCATTTCTTCTGTAAGCATAATCACCCGGGCTAAGCTAACACCATTTGATTAATCACCATAGGTGTCACAATATCCTCATCGCTAAGTGGCAACAAAGACAGGGAACAGACTAGTGGGCATCTCTGATGAGCAATAGGTTTATCCAGTGGAATCAGATTATTTTCTTCTAGCCATTAAGGGTGCATTAGGCACGTGGAAAAGTTAGCTGAAGAAAAGGTAGAGATGAGGGAAAATATTAATAACATGTTTTGGCAGATAGCAAAGTGGCTTTGTTGAAATAAAGCTTATCATGTTTATGGGAGAGAGTTTTCCTATTTCCAGTCTTTTTCCCATTTTGTACCAAATGAGCCCTAGGTTCATAGGTGATGGAAGTGATAGGGAGCACAAGCCTCTTGGCAAAGCGTTTTATTCATGGGCTTGCGGTCTCTACAATCTAAACTCAATGAAAGGCTTTAATCTGAAGTTTCTTCCAGCAAATCTTCCATGGGAGAGAATTATTTTCTTTCCATTCCCTTTTGCTTCAACCAAAAACATTTTAGGTGCCCCTTGTGGATATACAGGGATTGCACAGTTCTTCAAAGCTAACGTCTGTAGTCTTTCTAGTTTTTCTTTTTCTAATTATGCTACGGAAGGCCACTTTTGCTCTGTTGTTGTATTGCTTTATTATTCTCATTAATTTAATTTTGTTTTAAAAACAATGCAACAAGACAAGTCAAAATACTTACCACCAAAGAATTATATATAAAGTGCTCTCTCCGATCAGCTATGGAAGGTCTAACAAGTTCACCAGTGTATTCAATCACCTGAAGGAAGACAATCAACAGGTCCAATGTGAGAGGTCCAATCACTAACATTAACAAGTCTCATTTAATTTTGAGAATTTCTTTACCATGTCCCCGCCTTTATATGGATGCTTTGCAAAGATACCAAATCCATGAATTCTTGATTTCCCTAATAAATAACATATACCAAAGCAGGTCAAACACAAATTTGAGATTGTCTAACTCAAATAATTCAACAAAATAAGAAGTAATGCAGGGTAAAAACCGTAAGAAATTCACCAAATAATTAAGAAAAATTAAATTCACCATAAAATCCCAAAGTATAACCCATAGTGCCAGTGACAGTCCACTATCCACAAAATAGACGATTATACATTTCTCCCCTTGATTGTATACATAAAATAGACAAATATTCTTACCAAATGCTAGCCTTTTCCTAAAGGTTTCCCTCATGTATTTATATTTCTCAGCAATAGAAAGTATGCCATTTGAAGCATCAACCAGAGAGGTCTTCAGCCTGTGCTGGCTACAAAAGAATTTAGAGCAAACTCCTCTTCCAGATGGCTCTACGTTGTCTGACACTCCATGCTGGCAATGTCCACCAACCAAACAAGATTGATTTTCTACAAACAAGCGTTTTAAGGATGCTGCTGCAAGTGCTTCAGGTTCTTTTCGCCCTCTCCTGCCAAAGTTATTGTATGGTTCTGCCCAAGAATAAATACAGACATGATGAAGCACAGTACAGCTTTATTTCACTTGAGTAGATAGAGGGGGCACATTCAAAGTGATCTCAGAGATGTGCCAAAAATGAAAACTGGAAATCACAGAGAACAAAAGGTTAACCCTTTTTCCACCATTCATCCCCAGGAGTATGCATTAATAATCCTTCCTTCCTCCCTCTCCCCAAGTTTTCCGCTCTGTTCACACATACATTAGATACTTTTATGTAACTTTATGCATGTACGTTTACAGTCTAAAGTCAAGCCCATGCAGCATTCATCCAGGATTCAGCTGTAATTAAACTATACTTTATGCATGCTGCTTTCAAATCAAAATTAATAAAACAAGCTACAACACCAATTTGAGCATAGAAAAGAATGATGCAAGCAGCACAAGAAAACCACTTCAGCTTAAAGATTCCCAAAAACATACTATTTTGCCTTTTTTTGGGTTTTTTTTTAAGGGGAAATAAGAAAAAGACACTTAATTAGAAGGAAAGACATTGCATATTCAACCAACTCTTTTGAACCCCATGAGAAAAACGCCACAGAGGCCATAAAAATTATCCAATCCCTCACTAAATAGGGAGCCAGCAAATAAGCATTTTATGATCTTTACCAAAAACATTGTAATTTGTCAAGGGACACCATTCCGATTTTACAGGAGAGACTATTTCTCACTCATGATACTGGATATTCAAAGGCTTTTCTTGGTAATAAGTATTTTGCACTATAAGAGGATTTGTAAACTCTTTACTTGTTAATATCAAGTTTTCGAGGCTTTTCTTTTGTTTGAATTTTCAGGTTTCCATTCATTTTTATTAATGACAACTAAGTTGACATATGCCATAAGATACAAACTCCAAGGCCCCAAGTTAGAACTGGATAAATTTCATGCTTCCAACTATGAGAAAGGAAACTGGAATCACTGATCAGCTGATGAATTGCTACAGCCAACTGCTCTTTTGATTGTTTGCCCCCTAGGTTAATTTATTGTTTTACAACTACAATTAATCAAGTGGCCAAATTTGATTTCTTGGGCAGGCAGTATTGTAATTTATTTCTTTCAAACCTTGATTCTTGCCTTGAATCCACCCTAGAACCCATCAAGCCATACTAAATTTAGTTTCAGAGTTGTTCACTGTCACGAAACGCCTAAAAGAAAATGAAGCAATAGATTCACTTAAAATACCTCCGCAACTAAATACTATTAATTGTTGATAAAGCTTAAAAAAATGCTGCAGATCAAAACATTGACATCAAGCAAGAACAAACTTAATTCTAGTTCCCTGCACCCAAATATGAGATAATATATTAAAACTTCACAAAAAATTTGAACAGATAACTTTTTTCAGAATAAGCATATCCAAATAGCGTATCAGAAAAAAGTTACAGTAACATATTAGTTACCAATAAATAATGAGAAAAAATGGTGGAAGAGAAAATCAAATAAGGCCATAATTACGATAACTTCAAAAAACCCAACTGCCAATATCATACCACTGCGAGCACAACCAGACGGGTTGGGTGGTGGTTTATATTCTGAACATTGACTGGCAACGCGCCCAATGCGTTCATCAGCAATAGAATGATCATTTGATGGATGCCTATGTTTCTTGCAGAAGGAGAGCAAGCGAATGCACTGATCTTCATCATCATCAACAGAGAGTAGATAGAGCCTGTCCTCATTCTCAAGCTGCAAAATATTAAAAAAAAATAACATAGATAAGTGTCCTTTGATGAAAATTTCCTTCCCATAGTAATTCCAGCAGAGCCCATGGAATATACACAAAGTTAAAATGAAATAAAATTAAATATTCAAAAAGACAAGCAGGAGCAATACCTCAACACAGAGACCAGCAGCCCGTGCACAAAGTGGATGATATGCCACTCGACAAGAATTATTTGAACACTGTACAACATGGATGTTTTGGGGGAACATCAATATTAAAAGAGGAAAAAGAAAAAAAGAAAATCACTGAACATCAAACAAATTTACTTTGCCCATGCGTTGTGCCATTGATAAAAAAATTGGAAAAAAAGAGATTCAAATTTATCTGTGCTAACCTTTCCAAACTTTTGGAAGTATAAAATACTAATCTGCCTCAGATAAAAATGACTACAAGGACAGATTACACATCTTTTTAACCATCAAAAGCTTGAAGAATAGACCTGAGAATAACAAAAGTTATCTCTGTGAAAGTTGTGGCTGACAGAGTTATTTATAATGTAAATAGGAAAGTTTTATTTTATATTATTTCTTAAGATAGCAGAGAATATCACGGGTAGATTAATTGGGTATCATGGGTTATTATTTTTCCTGATTCTTCTCATATTGTGCTGGGATTAGGCTTCTCCCACCACTGTATATAGTCTGCTGTACCATTCTATGTGAATATATGAAAAGCGATGGCTTCTGTTCTCCAATTCGGCAGGTTAGATGCACAAATTCAGTGTATTAGTCAGTCTTGTTTGACATATTGCCATAATTTTACAATTCTATGACTATATTTTATGCAACAAAGACTCGCAGAGAGGAAGGAGATGAGATTGGAAAATAATTTATGAATAGAAGACATTAATAACACTATCCCATAGCATGCAGGCAGAGCACCAAATTGGAAGTGCAGAGCGGTTGTTTGTAGGAGCTTGGTGAGCCAAAGGTGCTTTAATCAGTTTAATTTCGTCAACTTGACCAAAACTCAAATGGTGCTCAGACCTATTGTAGAATCTTCTAAATACAGACATCACAAATATTCTGAAGTTATTGCAGAGGAAGTTCATAACCACTCCAAGAATTCATAAGCAAAATAGCTAAGTATTCAACAGCTTTCATGATCAACTACAACAAATTTAAGCTATAAAGTACGAATAGCCCTTGCACACAAATGCCACATTGGTTCCAGAAGAAGCAAAGACGCCTAAAATCCATAGTATCTAAGATGGGTTAAAGAAAATAAATTTATTCAAGGGAGAACGACAATTAAGTCCCAAAAAACTGAATTAATAATAGTTAGATTCCCGACAAAATTTTCTACAAAATGAATTATAAAGTTCAATTCAAATAATTGTCAACAAAAATTTCTGTTCCAATCTAAGAGATGCATTTGGTAATTAAATACTGATTTATAATCGAAAACCCTGAATTTGTAATAATCTCAATTGATATTTTTAACTTATTTTTCAAAAAAATTTAATGGGCACTTAACTGTCATTAATTCGATGTTTTGGGACTTGAGTGTCATTCTCCCTTTATTCAAATTGCCTACACTATTAGGAAACTTACAGAAGACTAACCTGGATGCAAGCACCATAAGGCACCCCACAAATGCTACATAACAATTTCCAGCGGTCCTGCTCATAAAGAATTTAGGACATTAAAAAGGAATAATGTTACAATGCTGTTACTGGGGACTAATTCCTTTTATTAGCCAAGAGACTTAAACATAACAATACAAGTATAAAATATTTATGAAACAAAGAAGCAGCAGCAATTCTAGGGAAAAGATAATCAATGCTCACGGTACCAAAACAGACATACAAGTGCACACAAAAGCCTGATTCTACTTATCCCATCAATAGGCTCCATCCGCTTGACATCAGCTAAGCAAGTTTCTGGCAAGAATTGCAACACTTAGCAAACATAGGTAAGCTAAAGAAAAGAGTGCTGAGATCAATTAATGAGCTAACAAACCTGGTATCCACATGGCACATGCCAAATGAGCCCATCGACCATCCGTTGTAGGCTTCATTGCACCTCCTAGAAGAAACTAAGTTGTGACACCCAATTTCATTTAATTATATAACATAGCATAAACACGAAAAGATCTCTCCGTACCTATCAGTGGACATAGGCAGCAAGGAGGTGGGGGGGAGGGAGCACCCAAGCGACATAGGTTACACAACCATAACACTCCATTAGAAGGTTCTAGTTCTCCATAACATCTGGCATGGACCTGATAGAACATTGCAATTTATGGCTCACAAAGCAAAGAACTGATAAAGTAGCAGGGTTTACCAGCTGGCATTACTAGTGGCATTAGCCTACTTATTAATTATTGATTAGCAGCAAATCTGCTTTAATTCTGAGAGAAAATATCATAAAAACCGTAAGGAGATCATACCATCATTCTGCATTTGTCACATTGCAGAAACAGATTGTTCTCATATTCCTACAAAAACTCAAATTTGGCAAGCAATAAATACAATTAGATCATGATTTAAACATCAAGAAAAAAACAAAGTCTATTTCCCTTCAGCAAATAGAACAGGGTGCAAGTAAAATAGGAATTGCATGTAGGAAAAATCACGTGAATAAAAAACTAGTAGATGCTCAAAAACATGTCAGAAATAAGAACTGTACCTCATCCATGTGACACACGTTGCACTTATCGAGATCAAACCAATCAATATGCACCTGCCTATAACCAACAGGCAGATCACTATATCTTCCAGAACCTATCTTGCACATTAAGTTTCTTGAAGAGGAGCTGCATTTATATAATCCCTGGAAGTGACAGTGCATCTCAGTTAAAGTCTTTTAGAATCTTCAAAAGAAAGGATTGTCATACAGCATACCTGTATAAGTTTAGCTACTTTGGGATTGGAAAAACCAAACATATCAGTTCCTGATTTATAGTCCCTTACAAGCCTTCCATCTGCAGTGGAAACGTCAGAAACACCCTTCTCTATTTTTTTTATCCGTTTGTATATTTTATTCCAGCAAGCAGTTGCTGTGGGACCATTAAACTGCAGCAGAACATTTGAGGAGATATGAAAAGAGTTATAGACACATCAAGAGTTCTTTTTCCATATTCCAAAAAATTGAAAAGAAGCACATGCTGCAATACCTCATCTAGCAAAGCAACTAATGATCCTTGCTATAGCTTAAGTTAGCAAAAAGGTCAAGAAATTCATATACGTCCTAAACATTACATGCCCAACATTTTTAAGAATTTTGTTTTCACTGAAGTCATGTTTACCCTGTTTCCCCTGCAAATCCTTGAAATTTTGTTTCTTATGTAAATAAAAATTTGATCACTGAAAAAACCAGAAAATTCTTGACATTTATGATCAGAAGGGAAAGTAAGATAGAAAAAGTTGCAATTACTTGGAAAGGTGAAATTAAGATGCTAGTTCTTCATAAAGGATTTGGTTTTTAAAAATGCCAATTTAAGGGGAAAATAAACATTAGATGCTTTGGAAGACATATATCATAAAAGCATGTTTATGAGAGCAAAATCACTTCATCTTGTAGGAACTAACCTGCTCTCCACCATCCAGTGTCACCCTAAAAAGTGGTCGAACCTTTGACTCAGGATCTCTCAACACCTCCATCTTATATGATGTGCAAACTTTTGGATCTAAATATCCCAAAAACAGACAAAAGGAAAGTTAAGATGGTCTCTAAAAGAATGAGCGCACGAAAAGAATCAAACATGAAGAATATATCATGAAAAACATCCCAAATAAGGCATTTAAAAAAGGTTTCACCAGTAACTGAAGTAAAATTCCTCACTGCCATATAACCCTCTGGCCAGATTACACTTCCGTCTTGAAAATTTGCAGAATCATGAACAATTCTTCCTGAAAGAAAGTTCACATCTGTCAGTTCCCGCACTCCCACTGACACAAAAATAAACTATTTCACTCTAGGAGCAGTAGTGCAAGAGCACAAGAAACAAATAGGACCTGTAACAAGCAGTGTCTGTCATTGTAGAAATTATGGAGTAGTCAAAAATAAAAGACATCGAGACTGCCACTAAAATGAACACAGTAGGATCTGTTGATTATTTATCGGATACAAGAGATACCCCATGACATGGTAGAAATTAAGATTCCGAATAAGCCATATCGCCAGAAAATAAAAATGGTATTAATGATAGGATAGAAACAGAACAGCCAGTTCCATACTTTAAATGTGTTTTAATAATAATAATAACAACAACAACAACAATAATAATAATAGAGGGCATTTAGAGCTAAACATATCAAATAAGAAATTAAAAGATTTATTGAATAGACCATTTGGGAATCAATGAGGGTAGTGAGGAAAGAAAATTATTTACCAAAAGGTAACCATAAAATAAATTATAACAAGCATGAATGTAATTAGAAAATGTGAAATCATCAGAAAATAAAGCTTATTCCGGCAGAAAGGGAACCATAAAACAACTTATAGCAAGCATCAATAGAATAAGAATATGTGAAATCATAAACATGCAAATCAAAATCTTGAGAGTTTACCTAGGCTTAAAATTTTCAAATCTCCTACTACGTAAGGAGAAGTTTCAATGTTTTTCAATGCTGTCTGGGCCCATCCATCATCTAAACAATCTTCACCAGAATATGTACATCCTTCATCCTCTTCATGTACATTTTTGCAGTTATCAGCCTTGCATCTTTTCTGTGACCGCAGCATTTCAGAAGGAAGCTTCTGTTTGCTTAAATAGCTATTCAAAATTCAGTAATTGCAACAAGCAACAAATTAGAGCTACCAACTGAAATTCTTCCTTCTGAAGGTCAAATTAGAAAACTTTAAATGCCACATACTAAAGAATAAAGGATAAATCTTATCCAAAAAAATAAGCAGTCTTAAGAATTTCACATATGAGCAAGTGGACTGCAGACTAAATTGAAATTGATTTCAGAAATTAAAACTTGTGCATAAGATATATTGATTAATGAACCCACAGTGAGGGGAAAAGTATAAATAACATTACATTTTTGCCTCTTCTAATCCTTCAAAAAAATGAGGCTTCTTGCATTTCAAGTGGAGACGAGAAAGAAGTCCAGTGAGAAATGATTTCACCTGCTGTGGTCTAACCCTAGAAAAAAAGATTAAAGGGAGAAAATTTCAGTTTCAAAGGAGAAATAGGTCAAATGAAGCCTACAGCTCCTCAGTGATAATTGAAAAACCAATTTTCCTTATTTTTCAAGATATTGAGAACCTTGCAAAGTCATGTGTGCCAAAAAATTGTACAGGAACGGATCTTCCACCGGAAAATAATTTTAAACCTTTACAATTCCCAGCAAGTGATTCATCCATAACAAGAGCTGGCCACATTGCATGACCTGCAAGTGAAATAAGCAAACTATTAATGAAACATAATCACAACAACAATTGATGAAATTCATGCCATATACTATCAACTAAAATTGCAAAGAAAAGCAAACAAAGTAACCAGAAGTATGCATTCTTGATCTCCAGAACATAGAATTTAGAGATAGATTTCAAATACGTAAAAGTTCAAAAAGGGCAAAAAAAATTTGTTAGCTCATAACTTTAGAAGCTTAATGTTGCTTTGATAAAAAACAACAAGCCTTATCCCACTAAATGGGGTCGGCTACATAAATTATATGATGCTATAGTGCCCTATCATTTACCAAACTTTTAAAAATGTTATTAACTAAAAGGACTCGGTCAACAACTTCTAAAAGTGTTCTCTTTAGCCTCTTCTACCTCTCTTAACAAGATTCAAAATTATCCGTTCCACTTTTCTCACTGCTTTGATAGATAACATAACCAATAAAGCTATTACCAAATGCCAAAAGAATTATCAATAGAAAACACCATCATATGTCAATCGAAATAGAGATGAAATTAAATTGGCAGACCAAACCAAAAATATTCACATCTAGTGTAGTCTTCTCTTTCCTCATTAAAATAAATCTGATGTGTTTCCAATAGTGATAATTATAAGGAAAAAACATATCATTGATTCTTATAGTTAATGTTAATGCTAGGTCGTTGCCCGTAAGTAACGCGCTGCATGGCTCGAGTACAGTGATAAGTGAGTTAGAGCCGCTGCATCGGCGCCCGGATGTAGTGTTAAATGAGCAAGGGCTACCGCGTCATTTGGACGCACGCGGCTAAAGAAGTTAGTCCATAAGAGCAAAATTAGATTTGGTACTTGGAATGTTGGGACATTAAATTGTAAATCTGTAGAGGTTGTAGGGGTTATGATTCAAAGGAAAATCAATATCCTTTGCTTGCAAGAAACAAAATGGCGTGGAGAAGAAGCTAAGGATATTCAAGGTTTCAAACTTTGGTATACAGGAAAAGTAAGTGCACGCAATGGAGTAGGCATCATTATAGATAAGGAGTGGAAGAAGAACGTTGTAGAAGTTAGCAGAATTGGAGACAGAATTATTTCTTTAAAAATGATAATTGGACGTGAGACTGTTAATATTGTTAGCGCTTATGCGCCGCAAGTCGGGATAGAAGCCAGTCTTAAGGAATTATTTTGGGAGGATCTGGAGGGGTTGATTCGACACATACCACAGAGTGAAAAGATTTTTATTGGAGGAGACTTTAATGGGCATGTCGGGAGGGAAGCTGGTCAGTATGCGAGGGTGCATGGTGGTTTTGGTTTTGGAGAGCTAAACAATGAAGGGCAAACTCTTCTTGATTTCTCATTGGCGTATGATTTTAAGATTGCCAACACTTGTTTCAAGAAGAGAGATGAGCATCTCATCACCTACAAAAGTGGAGCCTCAAGGTCGCAGATTGATTTTCTTTTGGTTAGGAACACAGATAGAAAACTTTGTAAAAATTGTAAGGTGATCCCTGGAGATGCTGTAACGACACAACATAGGGTCCTAGTCCTTGATGTGTGTATTATGAGTAAAATCCAAAAACGTCGACAAGTAGTAACACCAAGGATTAGGTGGTGGCAATTAAAAGGTGAGAAGCAAGATATTTTCAAGCGAAATCTTTTGGATAAAGGAATTTGGGATTCTCAGGGAAGTGCTAACATCATATGGGAGGATATGGCTAAAAAGATACGGGAGGTTGCAAAAGTAGTTTTGGGAGAATCGAAAGGTCCTGGTCCGAGAGATAAGGAGTCTTGGTGGTGGAATAATAGTGTACAGGACAAAATCAAGTATAAGAAGAACTGTTTTAAAGCCATACATTTGTGTAACAATGAGGAAAATTGGGAGAGGTACCGTATGGCTAAGAAGGAAACTAAGAGAGCTGTGGGTGAAGCTCGTTCTAAAGCTTTTGAAGAATTTTATAAGAACCTTGAGACGAAGGAAGGAGAGCAAAATATTTATAAGATTGCCAAGAGTAGGGAAAGAAAATCAAGAGATCTAGAACAGGTAAGGTGTATTAAGGATGAAGAGGGAAGAATTTTAGTTACAGATGATGAAATTAAAAATAGATGGGAGACTTATTTTTCTAAACTTTTCAATGATGGAGAGGATTCATCTAGTAACTTGGAGGATTTAGTAACTGGTGAAGGAGAACAAAATTTGTCATTCTATCGAAAAATACGTGATAAGGAGGTAAAGGAAGCTCTTAAGAAAATGGCAAATGGTAGAGCTAACGGACCTGATTGTATATCTATCGAAGCGTGGAAATGTTTAGGTGAAGAAGGGGTGAGATGGTTAACTAAGTTATTTAATGTGATTTTACGGTCCAAGAAAATGCCTGATGAGTGGAGGAGAAGTACATTAATTCCTATTTATAAAAATAAAGGAGATATTCAGAATTGTACTAACTATAGAGGGATTAAACTCATGAGCCACACAATGAAATTGTGGGAGAAAGTAATTGAGCACAGGTTGAGATTGGAGACAAGTATTTCTGAGAATCAATTTGGTTTTATGCCAGGTAGATCAACTACAGAGGCGATTTATCTACTAAGGGGATTAATGGAAAAGTATCGTTGTAAAATAAAGATCTACACATGATTTTTATTGATTTGGAAAAAGCTTATGACCGTATACCAAGAGAAGTGCTTTGGAAAGCGTTGGAAAAAAAGGGAGTACGGATTGCTTATATTAAAGCCATACAAGATATGTATGAGGGGGTAAAAACTAGTATAAGAACGCCTAGTGGTCAAACAAAGGATTTTCCTATAAAGATTGGGCTACATCAGGGATCATCTCTGAGTCCTTATTTGTTCAACTTGATTTTAAATGTTTTGACGGAACATATTCAAGAGGAAATCCCGAAATGTATGCTCTTCGCGGATGATATAGTTCTTATAGCAGAGACAAGAGAAGAGGTTAATTGCAAACTTGAGTTATGGAGGAGGACATTGGAGTCGAAAGGTTTTCGTCTGAGTAGAAGTAAGACGGAATATTTATATTGTAAATTTGATAAAGGACTATTCGAAAATAATTTGGAAGTGAAATTGGGAGATCAAATTATACCTCAAGTGGAAAAGTTTAGATATTTGGGAGCCATTATCCAAAATGATGGCGAAATCAGTGGAGATATTTCACATAGAATTCAAGCTGGGTGGTTTAATTGGAGAAAAGCTAAAGGAGTTATTTGTGACCGTAAGGTGCCTAATAAACTTAAAGGAAAGTTTTATCGTACTGCTATCAGACCGGCAATGTTATATAGTAGTGAATGTTGGGCTCTAACGGGACAGCAAGAGCATAAAGTTGGAGTAGCAGAGATGAGAATGTTACGATGGATGTGCGGACATACACGTAAAGATAAAATTCGAAATGAGCACATACGTGAAAAAGTGAGGGTGGCACCTATTGAGGAAAAAATGGTAGAAAATCGGTTGAGATGGTTTGGGCATGTACAAAGAAGACCAAGGGAGGCACCAGTGAGAAGAGTGGAACATATAACTTTGAGTCCGATTAAGAGAGGTAGAGGAAGGCCTAAGAGAACACTCTTGGAAGTTGTTGAACGTGATCTCTTAATTAATAATATTTCTAAAAGCTTAATAAATGATAGAGCACAATGGCGTCTTGCAATCCATGTAGCCGACCCCACCTAGTGGGATAAAGGCTTGTTGTTGTTGTTGTTGTTGTATTGATTCTTATAGTTCCATCAAATTTTGCTTTTAGTCCCTATAATTTTTTTAGTATTTTCAATCTCTATAGTTCAGAAAGATTAGGTGACGTTTGTCTTACAGGTCCCTATAATTTTAGGTTTTCTAGTATTTTTAGTCCCTATAAGAATTGAAAAAAACTACAGGAATTAAAAGCAAAAATTGACAAAACCACAGGGACCAAAGATTATGTTTTCTCTAACTATAATAAAGTTGCATATCTTGTCTATTCAATACTTCACTCTCCAAACAAATTTTCTGAAATCAAGTGCAATACTCCATAACGCACACCAAAATCTTTCCTTTAAAACTGTTACTTATCATAAGTTGTCCTCTGGCGTCAAGGGGGGAAAAAATGCTAACATATGCATGATTCCCTAAACTTATCCAAAGCAATAAACTAAAAAAGTAGCGGCTTAGTTTTGCATACTAACTCGTGGCATGAATTAAACCACATTTGACCAGTAAGCTTTAGTACGTGCAGATATCAGATTCTATGCCTGAATTTAAGAACTACAGTGTAGACTGCATATCAAGAACATTTAACGCTATGGCAAATATAAGTTGATAATTTTGTATGTATGGAACCAGAGGAATACAATATTAACAAAACAAAAATCTTACTTATTAAGAATTGTGCTAAAATTTGGGATCAATGAACTGAATTAAGGTATCGAGATCCAACAATCTACAAATGGAACAATTAAGTCAAAATAAGCAAAAACCTGTTAGCTTAGCCCATACAACTTCACCCGGCTCAAACTCTTGACAGTTGTCTAAACTTGCAGCCAAGGCAAGCAGCTCTTCCGCATCATAATCAGTAATGTTACAACTACTCAAGTTTAGTTGCTTCAGTTCCTCACGGGAAACATGAAACCTTACTTTCTCATTTGAAAGAATTAAGTTTTCTTCATCACTGTCTTCATATTTAACCTGCATGTTTACACAAATAATAATATCATCAAGTCCAAAATTATCATTTTTACATACACACATAATTAGCAGTTTCAGGTTATTCAAGCCAATAAACTAATCAAATAAGAGGGCCATACATGATGTATCTTAGTTTCTGAATCATAACCTATGACTCGACCAATGTACCATTTCAAATCCATGGGCCAATAAACCTGCAGAAAAAAAACGTCAACATTGATAAATTGTAATTATATGAACATCCGGGGGAATCAACTTTTCAATTAATAACCGAGAGAACATCAAAATATTGCCTTGCATCTTAGTCCAACCAATGTCTCGGGATCAGCATTATCAAAAGTCAACCTGCATTCAGTTCAGTTAGTATTTATGTCAGATTTTCTTCTTCGTTTAAGGAAGAATTTACACATCCAAAACAAATATATAACATGACCATAATCACAGTTAAACATCAAATTCAATTTCACGAAGCTTTTGTTTCTTCAGTACAGAGGAGCAATAATTATCAATGCCAGATAAGTAAAAGTAAATGCTAACGATGAATTTGCATACCATGAGAGATATATATTTTTGTTAAAGCAATCGAAATGAAAGAGGGGAAGAACCACCTGACCCATCTCTTTACAGTGCGGGAAGCAGGCAATAACTTCGGAAAATTTTCCAAGCGGACCCGATTTTTCCTCATACTAGAGTCACAATCACTGATATTATTAACATTATGAACACGACAGTCCCTCAACCGAGGCCCGTCAAGAGCACCCAATGCGCTCAAATCCACACCCAAATTCACCAATTCAGCGCTCCCAGCTTTTCTCTTCTCCTTCAGTGTCCCAGCCTCAGAATTGCCCTTCTCACGGTGCTCCCCAGAACCATCAATTTTGCGAATATCCGAGGTGGGTCCACCCCGGCTCATCAAAGATTCAAAAAAGGACACGCTCTCCGAGGAATGTCGGGGCTTCTTATGACGGCGAGAGTATACATGAAGAAGAGGAGGCTTATGAAGTGAGTTCTTGTGATCAGGGTCGAAATCCAAATGGGTGAGATTGAGCTTGCGGGCCTTGACCTTCTTCGACATGACGTTTGAAGAACCACTGGCGCTGACACGGCAGGGGGATGTAGCAGAATAAAGATGATCGAGAGGAAGATAACGAATGGGAGTGCCGTGGGTGGTGTGAATGTCGACGTTGGTGTCTTCTTCGGCTTCTTGGGGTTGGGGAACAAACGCCATGGATAATGATGGCGAAGTGCGAGAAGAGAGAGAGCAAGAGTCTTGGCCCCTTTGCTCTCTCGCCCTCTCCTAACGACCAAGGTGTTGAAAATGGAGATTAAGAGTGTTAGGGTTTTGCAATGTGCCGAGAGATGCAGATTGGAAGATCGTTTGTGGGGAGGGAAAGTTGTTTTCGGGGCAAAAAAATCTGTTTCCCGCCGCGTACCAACACTGATTGAAACAGAGGTGCTTTTAAGCCATTTACGTGTGCGACGCATTCATATAGACATCCAAAAGGAGGTTGCTCCCAAGTTACATTTTGGACCTTTTGGTCTTTTTATTTCGCTAGGTATTCTCTAAATTCACAATCTACCTGCTTACCAAAATTCTAGTTATGATGAATGCAGATATGACAGATTTACTGGTTAGAAGTTTGATAAAGTTGATCCTATCAATTCATGCCCTCGCATGTATTGAGGAGGAATTGAACTGTGAAATTAAATAATAGAATTAAGGAGAAATTTTTGTGTCTTGAAAAAGAGAAGATCTTGCTTTAGCTAGAGTTTGGCTTAATCACACACCTTGAGACATGTCTCCAATTTCCAGAGGGGGTGGTGAGAAGTTCAATAAAAGAAATCTTGTGCGAATTTTGGAATGGGCAGAAGAAACAAGGGAAAAGGGTGGAACACAACACTAGGATTTAAGGATTTTAACTGCTTCAAAATTGACCAATTAATAATGCATGATTGCTCATTGACATTAACATGCCTGATGACCTTGGAGCAAGAGGAGGAGTTTCTCTTCTCCACACAGGTTTCCAGCAAGGGCTATAGAATCCAAGGATGGGCTATTACACGGAGAGCTTGCTGGAACATGGATAGTGGCGAGTTAACAAGAGAGGGATATTAGTGCGGTAAAAATAAATAGCCGATGGAGCATGGAATATGAATGATACTAAGGATCAGTTTGTCTGAGGTGGACAGGTGTACCAGTCAAATTGAAGCGCTTTCATGGAGAGCCTCATCAAGTGTCAACATAAATGGGTTTAAATAGAAAAGAACATGGAAATGACCATTGTGTCCAGTTTGCAAGATTTAGCTAGAAATAGTTGAGCACTTACTTTTTACTTGCACATATATTTGGAAGGTTTGGGTAAATATAATAGAGAAAATACTATTAGAGAACTATTATTGAATCATATAATTAGGTAAGTGATGAAGTGATTAATTTAGAAGTTATATTGTATTGAAACTTGAAATACAGTGTGAACTTGTTATGGTCTCTTGCTAATGCTTCTATAGTCGTAGTCGCAGTATAAATTGAGAGGTGTCAAGTCCTAATAGATAGGTCATGGTCGTGATTGTTAAAATCAAAACATGACTCATAAAATTGCATGCTTTTACATACTTCTATGTATCTATACTTGGTTAGTTCTTAATCAAAAAAAGAAATTTACAAACTTAAAAATTTTTGCATAAAAATGTAGTCATACAAGGTAAGATTGCTAGTTTTTTTTTTTAAAGAAAAGACCTAACCCCGGACATTATGACTATGATTTTACAATGGAGATTCAAAGCTTGTGTGGATGAGAATGGGAGGTGCATTTGTAGCATGTTCAGTGCGAGGGTGAATGTAATTGCATATTTCTTAGCAAAACAAGGTTTGGCTGCTTATCCTGAATTCCATGTGTTTGTGCATCCACATGATGAGCTTGTTGGATATTATAAAATATTCATGGATATTTCAAAAGGAATTGTTATAATTTAATAATATTGATTTATATAACCCCTACTTAAATCTTATTTTTACCAACTTGGAGTTGTAGCTTTGAAGGATTTTAATCACCTTTTATTTGATTTAATGAAATTAAAAGGGTTTAATATTTGTTTAAAAATTTTAATGTTCAAAACCGCCCAAGTTATGAGGCTTAATTTGTTTTAATTTTTTTAAAACTGATGTTTGATGGTTTATTAAGGGGACCTTCTGGTTGTGACTATATATAGCCCAGGGAGTGCAGTGTATCCTGTGCCAAGCTCTAGAGTTCTCAAGCTCCTCCTATGTATTGTGTTGCATGAGTATATTTTGTTGGTCTTTGTTGTTCTGTAGCCTTGCTTAATTTGCAGGATGAGTTGTTTAATTCTGGGGAGTTGCCGTGCGAACAATCTAGTGTGACGGAATAGCTCTTAAGGACAGTGTCCTTGGCACGACTCAGACTTTAAATCTACCTGCCGGTTCCGACAATCTCCAACATTCTCAAGATCTACTTCCTCTGTTGTTGTTTTAATTGATGTCATTCTTATATTCTGGGAGTCATTGCCATGGCGAGCATCAGAAATTGCTATTCTGTTATGACACAGGTACACAAATTTTTGGTAGCACCGTTTCAGTAGCCAAGTCTTGAACTTGTAATCATTGCTTTATCTGCTTGGTCTTTTTTTTTTTTGACAAATATATAAAGGATGCATGCAGGGCATTGGCTGCTTGTTTATATTATTTCTTAAAACAATTCCAATTGCTTTCTCGTATCGAGAGTTTAACACAGGCTAAAAGGTTGAGCCAATAAACAATTATATAGATTAGAATATAGTGTGGGCTTTAAACTTTTGCCGTTAAGAAATTATTGTGGAATTTGGTTAGAATTTATGATATGATTCAAAGATTTAAAACGTTACATATCTTTGATATTTGTGAAATACATACGTGCTTATCATTAAGCATAAAATAATGATTAATCTTTATTGGTTATGTTATGCTCATGACATTCTGCTAATTTTATGGTAATTTAGCATTTGACCATATATAACAAGAGGAAATGCAGTATACCTTAAATGTAGGTAAACTATCTAATTCAAAGATTCCACTTCGTTTTTGTATGTCATGCATTGAATTTTCTTTCAATGCATGATTCTGATATTATATATATATATATATATATATATTTGTATGTATGTATTCTTAGTTATATCTATAGAGAAAGAGCGTTATATATATAGTGGTGCATTTAATTTTTTTTTTTGCAATGATACACGTTTTTTAATGGGATGAATATTGGAGGCAGTAGGTTAATATTGGCATACTGTTGATCATATTTTCATAGCAATGGACTCCTACTTGAATTTTGTGTTCATGATAACAAATGAATATGAAGGTGGAGATTTAGCCTTATGTCTGGCTTGTGGTTTTAAGTTGGCTATACATGTCATTAATCCATAATAAAATACTTTCATGACAAATTACCGTTTATATTGAATTATGAGTTGGAATTAACAAAACGTTGGGATTGGGTAATGAGAGGTAATGGTTCGTGAATGGCATTGATGGAAATTTATTTTGAAAACCTTTTATCAGGTTATTCAAAATGTTTATTTTGTGATATAAGGTTACCTATAGTGTCATAAATTTTTTTTAATGGTAGAATTTGAGTTAAAGGAAAATTATTGTGGGACTAACTATGCTATGTGCATACGTTGCTTATCTTGGATTTAAAATTTATGAGAAATTCTTATTTAATTAGAATTATGATTGATAAGGTATGGAAATATTTTTCATACATGTGGTTGAAATATTTAAAAGTGTGGGGGTATTTTGCAAAACATGCCTTGTTCTAAATTATTAACCTCATTTTATAAATACCACGATATTATTATGTTGTGATTTAGAAAAAAAATTAATTAAGAGGAGCTATTATTTGCATGATGGCAAATTTGTTAATTATGCAATTTGTGGCTCAGCTTGAAACAAGCATTGTGATGATGGCACAAAATTTAATTATTTATCTTGTGTAGATAAATATATTTTAAATAGGTGAATGACCTATTTATCTTGACATAAATATTCATTATTGTGGATAATGATTTGTTTATGAGTGTTATGGTTCTATGTGTAATAAATGAAAGTTTGAATTATGACTCTCGTATATAAAATATGTGGATGTTAATTGAATTATAAATTCATGTGAGAAAATCTACTAGTGACTATCCACACTCAGTAGTGATATAATGATAGGACCATAGTGGAGTCCAAGCTCATTAATCTGAAACTGGATTGGAAGCTAAGTTACTAGAAATCTTCTTAGCAATTATTTTATTATATAAAACCGACACTTAGTGTTGATGAATTCTTATTATGCTAACATGTCATTTAAAAAATTGATATAATTTTGTTGCTCAATTTGTGTATGCACGAATTTTTGAGAGTTTGTTGCGTTAACAAATATTAATTTCATGACATATATTGCGTGAAAATTGAGCATTTCAAGTAATCTCATAAGAGGATGAGATGATTGAGTATTTGATGGGTATCATAAATATGGGTATCATGAATGATGGATTTCCATTGTATTAAAACAATACAATGACGTTAACTGAATTTTATATTCAGATGAGGAAAAATCAGTTAGTAGCCAAATAAAATATCATGTGAGTCAGAGTATAATACTCTGAAGTTAGCTAAAAATGAGGCTAAGTAGTTCATAAACTTCTTAGTGAATAATATTATATTGAGAGTGAAACTGACACACATTATGTCGATGATTTGTGTAATTGGCAAATGGCGATAGTCATTGCAAAAAGAACAATGGCCAAATGGTGATAGTCATTACAAAGAGAATAATGGCATAGGTAGATATCATTTGAGATATAATTAAGCATGCTAAAAGAGAAAGTGATCTCAATCGATTATGTAAGATCAAATGTAAATTTGACGGATCTGTTAACTAGCCCCTAGGGAAGAATTTTAATTATTTAAATGTCGAGGGGAATGGGACTTAAGCCAATTTGAAATTACCGATGATGGCAACCCAAACTTTGTGATTGGAGATCCCATGAAGAAGGTTCAATGGGTAAGAACAAGTCACTTGTTAGTTCTGCTAGCACTGAATTTTTGTCCCTTCCTATGGCTTGAGAAAGTGTTAGAATGCATTGAACGGAGGCTGAGTGAAAGCTCTTAATGTTTTCATAGTCCTTATGGATGGTGTATTCATTGCAGATACACTTGATGAAAACACCTATACAAATATGGAGTGGGGCCGCTCCTATGAGATCGTGGCGAAATCTCTAGAGCATTTGTTAAAACCAGGCACGCGCATAGCCGATAACGTGCAAAACTGTCGTTAACAGCAGAGATTGTGGGGGTATAATCCGATTAATAAAACCTCTAGTACACGCTCAAGATCTGTTGGTTCAATAACAAAGTTACACCGACTTTTTTGTGTGCTAAGTTTTATTGATCTAGGTTTGGTTCAAGTCGAGAGACACCAAA